TTTCTATCAGGCTAAAAATCTGACTCAAATAGCTATAGAATAGTATTATATATATAATTCATTTATTGGTTAATTTTATTCACACTTTAAACACGTTATTCACGAACAAGTTCTATTCGTGGCGAATACTACATTTGAAAATAATTAACAATGTATTGCATTCATTTGATAAAATTTCCTACATGAACAGTAAATATAATACATATAAAAATATTAGAAATAACCAAATCGACATAAACAAAAATCTTCGACTACATAAGTTTCTCTGATGCTATTACGATCAGGAAAAATGGTCCTCTAATGAATAAAATTAAATTTCAAATTGAAATTGGAAAAACAATCGAGCTTCGTTTGGTATTCGATTGTCAACGATGACCATATTACAGAATTTATGTAGATTATTTCATAAATTCTTGCATTTCAATAGATAATTTAGAATTTAATATTTACTGTTGTACACACACGTTTTTTAATACATGCGACTAATTTTTTTAAATTTTAGAATTATTGATTTTTTAAGGTTTTTGAGTAGATTTTTCATCCATTTCTAAATTTGCTATTATAACTATTAAAGGAATACACGTCAAATTATACCATTGTAAAACGTAATAAATTTTTTCGAAAATACCGTTTTCATAAGCTCAAAATTTCAATCCAGTGGATTATAATAAAAGCCGCAATAAAGCGTGGCCGGGTAAACTAGTATATATATTATATATATATATATATATATATATTCAATAGATAAGTCCTGGATTTTTTCAATATATTGATTGTTTCTTTTCCGAACAGTAAATCCAATAATAAAAAACAATTTGTTTTTTGAAGATGTTTAATACGACGTTTCGGAACTAGGTACGTTCCATCACCTGATGATGGAGATGGAGATAATGTGGGTAAAATTTTAATTTTTTCAAATAATTTTATAACTTTGAGGCAAATGAATCCAAATTTTGAGAACAACATTGTATATGCTTATTTTGATCATAATTAGAAAAGTCAAAAATTTTTCGTCCACGTTTTATCCCGCAATTATGAATCGATTTTGAAATTCAAAAACCGTTCGATAGCTATTGATTGGGAATCGTGCTGATTAGTTTTTGATAAAGATATCGGCCGAGCCGTTTTCTTGTATAAAGTTTGAAAAAAAAATCGACGGATTTTTATGATTTTTTTTTGACGGCAGATACCATAGTTTTGTATATCCTACTAAAATATTATGCCCTACGACAGTCGTTTAATTTTGAAAATTCGTCTAAGTTTGCAAAAATAAATATCGTTTTTTTTTGGCATTTGTTCAAAATTATAACTTTGATCGTCGTTTTCTCAAAACGCCTGAACCGCTTTCATAAATTTAAGTAATTTGATGTATCTCAATTAGACTATAGTTTGTCAGTTTTGTGAGACGATCTGCCGAGCCGTTTCTTTGTTAATTTGAAAAAAAGTGTTAAACTTTTCATCCGCATTTTGAGCTCATACTACCAAATCGATTTTAAAAATCAAAAACTGTTCGAAAGATATTAGTTGGGAATGATACTGATTAGTTTTAGGTGAAATCTACCGAGCCGTTTTTTTTGTATTAATTGTTGAAAAAAAAATTCGTCGATTTCTATGGAGCTTTTTTGGCGATATATATCATGGCCTTATAAACTTACTGACATATTATGGCCTTACGACAAGTGGTTTAATTTTAAAAATTCATCAAAGTTTGAGAAATGAGTAGTTTTGTTGACGTTTGTTAAATTAAAATTAGACGATTTACTTGGTATAACGATAGATTACTTGGTTTTAATGAAAATACTAAACCATTAACGTCTTACTAAACTGGTTCAATTATAAAAATATTGATTTGTGAAAATTTGCTTTTGGAAAATACTCTTAGTTAACGTGTTCGTTCATCAATTATAGTAATAAATCCTCTCGGAATACTTGTAAATCACTCATAAATCAATTTGCTTATTATTGATTAAGTCGATTATTTACACATATCGGAAAGTTCATGTAACTTGCCTCAAGGCTAAATACGAATACTAACTAGTTAAAAATTTGACGCAATCTTTGGGTGAATGCACAGGACATCAGAATTCATTTAGAGATATGGTTTCTTCGGCAAAGTATCTTATTTTGATCCTCAGTATATGAAATCATATGTGGTTATGTGACTTTGTTTACCCATACAATCGACCCGCCCTAATATATGTATATTATATATATATATATCTTGATAGTTTTTTCGACGTTAAAACATATTTCAAAGTAACTAGCAGCCCATTCGTCGGAATAAAAAAGTATAAAAGTATAAAAACTTTTATTTATACGTTTCGACACAAGATGCGTGTCATCATTCAGCAACTACAACAATTTGAAAATTTTATTAACTAATATAAACAACAATAAAAATTAATTATAGCATAGAGAAACATTATACACACCACAGGACAAAAACACTCAACAAAAATTTATTTAAAAAAATTAAACTTAATAACATAGAGAAAAAAACATTTTTTAGAAAAAAATATGAAAAAACTAAAAGATTTGAAAAACTAATTTGAATAAAAGTTATGAAATACATCATTGTGAAGCTAGAAGCACGCCCATACCGAGCATCTAGACTCGACTCTTGAGTCTAAGTTTAATTTAATATTATTAAGTTTAATTTTTTAAAATAAATTTTTGTTGAGTGTTTTTGTCCTGTGTTGCTGAATGATGACACGCATCTTGTGTCGAAACGTATAAATAAAAGTTTTTATACTTTATACCTTCTTTATTTCGACGAATGGGCTGCTAGTTACTTTGAAATATATATATATATATACAGTGGTGTTGTCGAGCCGGAACGCGCCGGAACGCGCCGGAACGTCGTTCCGGCAAATCATTTTTGAGCCGGAACGCGTTCCGGCAAGAAAAAATATAAAAACATCGCTACATACAGAAAATGATTTATAATAAATTTTATACGCTATTATTCAACTAATTTTTATTAAATGTTATTATTGTAATAAACATACATATATGTTCACAAAATGGGTTTTGTAATAATTTTTGATTCTTTCCTTTTGAACGGAACTGAAAAAAAATGAAAACCGGTTTTAGAACCGGTTTTTAAATTTTAGCGTTCCGGCAAAAAAATATTAGCACAAACCACTGGTTTTATCAAAGTCGTTTTTAATTTAGTAACAAATTGAGGTGTATGAACTTCTTATAGAAAAAATAATATTTATAAATCAATCTTACATTCATTCGCATTTCTTATACGCTAACATCTACATCATAGGTTCCTATTCATGTATTTTTATAGCCTTACGTGTGCCTATACGTTGCATTCTATACTACACGCCTTACATCTGCACCATACGCTATATTTCATTATATACTCTCAAATCCCTACATTGTGTACCGAATACACCTAACCTATCTCTACTATATATCCTATTACCTAGATATTTCCCTTACACGCTACATTAACCCTACCGAGATTCGAACCCGGGTCCGCCGCGTGGCACGCGACGACCTTATCCACTACACACACCGTAACGCTACAATCAACCGTCTTTTTTCGCGTGTCGCCGCGCCACCTTAGTATTAATTACCTAATTAATTAGAAAATGACCCGCGAAACAACAGTGCGTCCCATATTATATTATTAGTGGGGGTATCCGATAGGGTAGTGGTTAAGGTGCGCGACTTCCACGCGGAGGTCCCGGGTTCAATTCCCGGTATAGTCAATAGGTAGGTAGAGATAATACATAGAGCGTAAGGTAAACCTATATAATATAGGTGAATATATAAATTAGACAGTAGTATTTATAAGAAGTAAAAGGTCTGTAGGTATATAATAAGATAATGACGGTATAGGTATCTCACGGTATGATAGATAATAGATATTTATCGATGATATACAATAATATAATATAGTATGATATGTAATAGGTTATCTATCATATTATTAGGTTAAGTCTTATAATTATATAAGTAGTATTTATAAGAAGTAAAAGGTCTGTAGGTATATAATAAGATAATGACGGTATAGGTATCTCACGGTATGATAGATAATAGATATTTATCGATGATATACAATAATATAATATAGTATGATAGGTAATAGGTTATCTATCATATTATTAGGTTAAGTCTTATAAAGTATTGTAATAAATCTTGAGTACTTTTATATCATAATAAATACCTGTAGGTATTAATGAATACAAATAATACCAGAATAAATATGATTAATGTCATTGAAGAATATAAATTATGTACTCAATGATTCCCTCATACTTGTACAATTTAATGTATAGACTAGCTGTGTATAATAGAGTTAATTATATAAAAAGTCAATATATTAGATTTGTGAGTTCTTATCGAAATATATCAAATTTTTTGAACCGGTTTATGGACCGGATTTTAAATTTTAGCGTTCCGGCAAAAAAAATATTAGCACAACACCACTGTATATATATATATATATATATATATATATATATATTTAAAACTATAATAAAAATAACTTACTGGCAATTGTAATGATTGTAGACACGTATGTGCAGACCAATACCAGTAACGGTAATATGAACATTGTCACCAGTGACAGGCTGGTATACAGCTGCTCCTGCCACTGTTCTGAGTAGAATCCATGAGTGACGCATTGATGAAAATCTTCCCAGAAAGGTCCTTTGGACACGTGGAAAATCGCCAACTGCAATTTAAATCAAGTGTCAGGAAACTAAAAGCTTTCTACTCAATGTAGGTAGAACATTGTTACATGTAATAGCTCAGCGAATTTGAGTAAGATTATATTCAATCATTTTAACGTTATAGTGTAAGATTGAGAACTAACGTTGATTTTGAAAACAATTTCGAAATATAATTTATTGAATTTATCTGTTTATTAAATAATCCACTAGAATATGCACTATATATATTGAATAACATATTTCAATTTTTGTTCATTTATTTTTTATTCACATAACAATATTTAAATTTATTTGTGTTCTTCCTGGTATCTCATGTATACGTATATACTTTACTTAGTATTTTTTATGTAAAAATATTCGAGTTTTTGTACAATTCTTCTAGAACTCCGGGAGGATATCATATATGTCAAAACATAGATAATAAATGATTTCACGTATCTATCGTTTTTTTACTTTGAGCCAACATATGAAGGTAATTTAAAGCTACAATGATAATTTAAATAGATCAGTTCATTAAAGAATTGCTGGAATAATTCTAATTTAAGCGCAATATTTTTTTGTATAATGATCATTTTATATGCCTAACAATCTACTAATTATATAGGATCTAAAATAAAATAAACTTGTATTAGTATTCTACCATTAGCATAAAATAAATATTTCTAAATTATTATGACTTATATAGCTAATAAATATATATACTAGGGTGGTCCTTAATATGGATATTTTCGAATTTCTTTTTTCCAGGGATCAAATGCTTCCAAATTGATAAAAAAAACTCTGAAAATTTTAGATCTTAATATTTTACTTTACTTTAAGATAGTCTGCACTCTAACCAAAGTTTTTTATAGATATAACATGGGTAAAATTCCATTTGTTTTTTTTAGAATGTAATAACTTATTGTGACAAATGAATCAAAATTTTGAGAATAACATAGCATTTGCTTATTTCGATAATAAATTTAAAAAATACAACAAAAATTTGATATATTGTATGAAATAAGTGTTTACTTAGGAAGAAAAACCAAGAAACTTAGGTTAGAGTGTTATGTGGACTATTTTAAAATTAATATTAAGAACTAAAATTAATTTCAGATTTTTTTTTATCAATTTGGAAGCACTCGAGACACTGAGATCATGGAAATTCGAAAACATACATATTATGACGACCCTAATATTGACAGATATTTAAAATATGTTTGCAGGACCTTTACTCAGATTGCAAATTTTGTTGAAAAAGACTCTACAGGTGGTTAGGTACATGATATTTTCATTAAAGTTTTGTAAGAAAATATTTAACGAACAATGTAAATTACATTATATTTTTGATTATGTAATCAGCAGAACCCCTTTCAAAAGAAATAGTAATATAAAGAAAAATTGTAAATTTTAGATTTTCTTACTAATTGTGTCAAAATGAAAAAACTACAGCCATACAATTGATATATGAAATTTATTGAAATTAATTCATTTTAAATAGTAAAATGGTAATATTGAATTTCAAGAAAAATAATTATGCAATCATTTACTTGAGAAGCATATGTCATTCTGTACATTCTTGTACATTTATATGTGAAATGCATGCGAAACACAAGAAATAAAAACGCAACACAATTCATGTTTTGGAGTTACAAATATTGCAAGATAAAAACGGCACAAATATATTGCAACTGTAGCAAAAAGAGAAATATAAAACATTTAAATATTATAAATCGAAGCCACGATTATTAATAATGATATTTTCATCAGATGTGATTACTGCAATTATCAAAATAGACAGAGAAGTTTCTAAGTAACTGAATCGTCATTCATTAAATTATTATGCTTCGTTTACCTTAGATCAAGAATTAAAATTAATTTATTTTTAAATTTGATTTCAATATTTTATCAGCAGTTATTTACTAATTACTTACTAGAAAACTAAATAATTGAAGGATAGTTAGTACTCACGATTGGCAATATTCGAATACACAATATTGAATTTTCAATGCGAAATTGATCAAATCATATTTATTTTACAAGCCAAGAGATGACTGAAATTAATCACGCATATACATCAATAATATACAATTTTGCCTGAGAGCAAGTTCATGAACTGACAGAAACAATAATAAGAAAGTTCTAGTAAACGGTTTTGATCTGCTTTTTGCCCCAAATTATTGAATGAATGTTGAAAAAAATTTTATTGTTGCTTTATATCAAGTTAAAGCAAATAGTCTGAGAGCCAATGAACTATTTGACTAACTTGTTTTCTGAGAGCTAGTATTTTTTTAATGATATTTTATTATCGACCGCGTGTGTTCTGGTTCTGGTTTGTACAATTTTTCAATGTTTTTTACAAATTTGATTTGAACGATATTTGCAGTACTAGAAGAAAAAACAATAGGCTTTTGAATAACGCTAAATACTAAAGTAATTAAACAAAACGCACTATCCGAAAATATTAATTGAAAAATCATTTTATCCTTTTTAGCTAAAAATAAAGGATTATTTAGCATATATAAAATACATCATGTGGTCTAAGCCAATATGAGTAGAATCACGTATTTTTTTCGATATCTTTTATGATTATGCCAAAAATTGAGTTTGAAAAGGAGCGACTTTGGCATATTTTTAATGATATCTCGGCCATAACGTTTGGTATATCGGATGTTTTTAAAAAGACCTTCTAAATGGCGTATAAATTATTTAAATACAAGGGTGTTAGTCGATTATGTATGGCAACGATTGTGATTATGATCGTGATTATTATGTACTCGACTGGCAGACCCTTGCAACTGTCAGAATAGGCTGGCTTTTTTACATATGCTTTCTGAACTGTTAAGAGAATACACCCTCAAAATTGGGAGCAAGTAATGAATTTTTTTTTGTCATTTTCACAAATTGAAGGGATGATGACGCAACCGCGGAATGACTGCCAGAATGGTACTTTCTTAATGGGTCGATAATAAAATATCATTAAAAAAAAAATTCTAGCTCTCAGAAAACAGGTTAGTCAAATAGTTCACTGACTCTTCTACTAAAATCTTTAAGTCACAAACTGTAACCACCAATTGGTGCAACCGTATCTACTACACCAAAAACAATAAATTAGATTACAAAGAGATGTAGAGGCAAGTTATGACGAAACGAGAATTATTATTGAAACCAAATTTTGTGTCGTGATATAATTAATTCAGATGGGAACCATTTCGAACTTTTTAGACAATGAGAAATTGTAAACCCAATTTACATTACTCATGTGTTGTACTAAATTATATTTCGTTAGCAAACATTATTGCAAATCAGCAATTTTGCTTAAATGTAGCTTCTCTTAAATCCTGTTAAACATCAAACCGCATTGTTCGTGGTGCTACGATTATTATTACCAGTTTGCTAAAGGGAATGAAAATTATTGCCTCTGCACGGTCAATTATTCAAAACTAATATTTATTCAATGGACGTAGAATAACATACAGAGTATCTACAGGAATACACATGCGCTTCTATTTCGAAATTGACATCCATGTAGAAAAGAGCTTATAAAATGGAAAAAAAATAAAATAAAAGGTAAATAGCTTCGCAAGCTGTTTTTATTAGGAGAATAACATCTTACGATAAAAGACTATCCTCTTACATAAAAACATTTCAAATACATGAGTTTAAAGTATATTTTTGTGCGATATTTTGTGTCATCTGGTTTTCTTTACTCTTCTAGATATATTAATTTTAACAATGTTTGATATATTATAAAAAAATCTGAACTTGTATATATTATTGTTAACCCCTTGACTCACGATTTAGATTCGAAAATGTTGAGCCAAAGTTGTACAAGCTGGCTCTGCGTTCGTGACTATTTTTTTTACACAGTGTACAGCTTATCACAAAATATTTTTTTTGTGTTTCATAGTTTCGTATAAATAAATATTTTGAAATACTTGAGATCACCGTACCGCGTTATTTTTTGTTCAAAAATGTTTTCCAAAACTAACCAGAAATATATGTCTAAATTTTCAGAAGCAAATTCAAATTATTTTCGGAGTTACAGAAAAAATAGTGAGCAATCGTCGAGCATGCTCGAGCAGAACGAAAACATCGACGCGCGATTTCTCGGTTTTTCATTTTTTCGATTTTACCTAAATGGCGGGAAAGATAAGAAAGAAAAGTGAAGATCCTATCAATATGAGACAAAATTGATTGTATTCAGAATTAAATTCTCTTCTAGTTGAACCTAAAAAAATCTTAAAAAAAGTTATAACTAAACAACTTTTTAAATAATCTTAAGTAAAATTCATCAAAAAAACATGATTTTTTTTAAATTGCAAAAAATTGGTAATTTTCTCACTTTTTTCTGAATTTTTCAGTTTTAACTGGAGTCTATACTATTGAAAATATAAATTTGTTTTGTTTTTTTTTTGTTTCGGATGAAAATTGTGACCTGCATGTTTCCCGCCCGCACGTGGCGCCTTGGCAAAATGCTTGCAACCAGCATATTATAACGTATATTTTAATGAAAAAAATTGAGAAGAATGTTGAAATTCTTTGATTTTTTGAAGCGTTTATAGTAGGCTTTCCCCTTAAGGGGTTAATATTATATCTCGTAATAAACAAACAGATTTTACGCTGACGTAGAATCTCTGGCTTACTATAAAAAATAATCAAGTGTGCACATGTGTTGAAATTTCTATAAAAATCACTTTTACGTAAACGTATACAATTTTATTATATAATAAGAAAGACTAATAAAATTATGCCTAGATTTAAGTTTTATAACATTTAGGCAGTAACATTATAGTAAAATGTCAAGCGCTTCAAATTTCATATTAAATGCCATTTTCACTGCAAGGAGATACTCCTCTCTAAAAATTTCCATTCGTGGTTTCGTCAATATTTTGGGGCTTCATTCAAATAATATCTCGCAACATAATCAAAAAACAATTAATCCATAGTAGTCAAAAAAAATGGAACATAGGCGTGGTTTTTATTTAATGAATTAACATGCATATGGAATCCCTAACCTATA